CTGGCAAACCAGAACAGATGCTTGCAAAAGTTTTGCTCTTAAAGTATTTGATTATTTAGATAACTTACAGAAATTGTAAAAGGCTTATAACTAAACGTTAGCTTTGCTTACTGTATTTGTACATTGGTACAGGTGTGTACAATGCGATCTGAGGAGAAATCCCTGAGGAACAAAGTTAATGAACTTCAGAAAATTAAAAACCAGCTTAGTGAAGAATTAGAGATCAAACAGCGCACAATCCTGCAACTTAAAAAGGTATTTTATTTTTTAAAATTTTACTTGCTCTTAATTTCAAGTAATCCATTCATGAGAAGTTTTCTAAGCAACAGGAGAAAGCTTACAGAAATTGGTTAAAAATAAGAGCAGTCAGCTGAAATTAGTTTTAATGGATGAAGGGAAGATGTTTAAAGAACTGCTCACTGCCGGACACTGTCATGTTGTTTTAAACAGAGTAATCTGCCTAGTAAATACACACTTAATATCTGTGGATATTCTGGTTAGTGACACTTAGATATGTTATTAGTAATGTCTTCCTCTAAACACTTTTTCATCAGCTTGAATGCTCCTTTACACTATATGGAAAAGCTTATTTATTCTGGACTGTTTGTCTTTAATGCTTCATTCTGAGCTTTAATAAGTACTGAATAAAAACCTGCTAATTTCTAGCATGTGTACTTGTTTCTTTGATCATGTTGTCTTTAATTTGCTTTCAATGTGATATTTAGGAGCAGTTTAATAATGAGAAGCTGGAAGAAGTCTCCAAACAGTATGAGAAAACACGTAAAGGTCAGAAAAAGCTGGTTTTGGTGTGCTTTTTTTTTTTTGGTGTGGAATGGCAACATAATGAGTTGTCATGTTGTTAAAAAATTTGGAGAGTCTTGTGTATTTATATTTAACACACTGAGAAACTCCAACCTGGACATTAAAATGTTACAGTCCAGAATTAATTTTTATTGAATCATTATTAGCAGGTATACTTGAAAGCAAAGAAACGGTCTCCAAATAAGAAATATAAGCCCCAGAGAAAGTGTGGATTTGCTGTATCTGTGTTAACTTATTAAATGTTGGTATTGATTTGCCATTTTAACAAAATCAAACACTGAAACATGAACTAGCAAAACAACAGTTTCTGCAGGTTTAATAAACATTTAGCAGTTGAACAATGGTTAGTTTCTCAAGTAATGCAAGCCATAGTCTGACTGATATTAACATTGAAATGCTCAACTAAATCAAGCTGATGACAATCACTTAATTTTGGATAGTTCAGTAGAGATGCTGTATTTCTTTCTAATAGAGCTTTTTATCTCAGAATGTGGAAATGACTTGTAACGAAGGCACTTTGGGAGAGAACGTTGGGAACTAGGAGGGGGCTCATCTGTAAATTTATTTTCAAATCTTCAGATCTGTGTGCAAAGGAAAAAATAATTGAAGATATGCGGATGACATTAGAAGAACAAGAACAGACACAGGTTGAACAAGATCAAGTGCTTGAAGCCAAATTAGAAGAGACCAACAGATTAGTTTTGGGTAATGTCTCCATGGAAAGGGAGCAGGGAGGCAAAGTTGTTTTGGATGTATTGTGACAGCTGCTTTAAATTTCTGTTTTTATTTGCTGACTGTTAATTAGTCATTAATTTTACATAGTACATAACAAACTTCTAACAGTTAAAGGCCTCTGTTCCTTTGTGGTCATAGCTGATAAATCCAAGTAACTTCAGTAGAAGGATGTGAACACAGGCAAATATGTATTTGAAACTATGTATTATGTAACCTTATTTTGTGTACTGACTAGAACTGGAGACATGGAAGCAGAAATACAGAGAGCTGAATAACCAGAGTGATAATGACTGGCAGCAAAAGATGAGCAAATATGAGGAGAAAAACATCAATGAAAATGAGGAATTAATAAAGCTGCAAAAAGAACTGAAGGTAAAATATGGTGATGTAATTCATACTTAGTTTTAAAGCCGTAGCTTTCATTTAGGAGTCTAAATTTCTTTGTGTCACTATCTTCAAGAGCTAGGGTGTGATATGGCAAGCTATTACATGGGTAAAAGAAACCTTCTCTAAAAGTGGCAGTGCAGCAAAGTCTAGATGCAGTGTCTTTGTAATGTACGGCATCACTTGCTCTCCATATGGCGTGCACCCTTCGCTACGTTACACTACCATGGACAGTGCCTCTGTAGATGGGCTTCTCTTACAGTTGTCTTAACCAATCCAACTCCTGATATCTGTTCCAAACCTCTTTTCTGTCAGTTGCTTGACCAACTGAATCAAACTCTTTTAAGATCTTGTACTTGCTGTATGACCTGTAAAGCCCTTCCTGTTAGGCTGAGGATTTACCTCAAATTCTCCTGGGATTAGAAAGTAGACTTTTTTCCAAGCAGCTTTTCAGATACCTTCCGTCTTGTGTGGGAGAATGTCTGACAAGATTCGTTTGTGATAGAAAAGGAGACAAAGTTGCTATGTGTTGAAGTGATGTTCTTAGGTATGCACTATCTCTGCCTACCACTCAAACTGTACTGCATTCTTTGCCTTTCAGTCTTGAGGCAGAAGTAAGTTTTCTAACATGTCCTGTAAGGCAGCATAAAGGATTGGGAATTTGTAAGTTAAAAGGGTCTCTTTACCATTACTTTTGGTGTAACTTTTATAGTGTTTGTGACTACCCAGTGTGTTTTTAGAGGAAAAAAATTCTGTTCCATGAAGACATGCTAGTCTGAATAAGAACTGGTGAAAATGGTTCTTTTTTTTTTCAATAGAGAAGAACAAATGAGAAGGTAATACTTGCACTTGGGAATATGCTGGCGTAAAAACTGTGCTAGTATTTCTGTTGCCATTAAATGGATTTGTTTCAAAAAGGTAATCTGGATTTTAAGATTTTTTTTTTTAATTAATGTCTACCTATGCTTTTATTTCTGATTTCATTAAAATAGGAAAATGAGGCTAAGTATCAAACTGATAGAAAGAAGTGGCTGGAGGAAAAAATGAGACTCATAAGTCAAGTAAAAGAAACTGAGAGTCATTGCAACAGAGAAATGAGAAAATTTGAGGAGGACAGAGAACGTCACATAAAGCAACAAGCAGAAATTGTAAGTGACTGGGGGTCTCAGCAGAGTCCTCTAGTGTAAGTCTTCAGTACAGAACAAATCTCATGCCAAGTGTTAACAGTGTGGGCACTTGAGGGTAGCTGGCCTTTGTCAAAATCCCCTCACTTTATCACGTGGCAAAGCCTAGATGACATCATCTCAATATGAAAAGGGAAGAACAGGAGGGTGACAAAATGAGAAAGGTTAGTACACAGTGGAAGTTAATGTGCCTGTTCCTTTCTATGCTGTCACCATCACCACAGCACTATTAATTCTTCAAACTTCACAGTGTGTAAAACACTAACAGGTAACCTACACTGAAATGAAATATTACTTAATGAAGCTAAGAAAACATACTTTGAAAAACAAGATTTGTTACTTGACTTTTCTTTAAAAAAAACAAAACCTATGAGGCTTTAGAAGGAAGAGAAAAAGCAAGTAGAGTCTGACCAAAAAAAAGCGTCTTTCCAGATACAGAGTAAAAATACCTGTTTAAAATGCTAGTGGTTTTGCTCCCATATTGCTTTCAAAGTAAAGTGACTGACAGTTAATAACAAGGTGGATACCTTGCCTGTTCACTGGACTGCATCAAAGTTGTAATTTCTTAAGCGTATGAAATTATTATATGAATCTGTACATTATAAACCTATATTTGCATCTAGAAGTAGTTAGAAATTAATTTCTGGACCTGCAGTCAGTACAGGAGGATGTTAGGAGCTTAGGACCACTTTTACTTTATCTGTACCTTTGCTTGCCTGACTTGTTAGTGATAAATCGCAGAGCGAGCAAACAGGAGTGGTGGTTCTTACCAAAAATTCCCTTCACAAAGAGTGTAAATATAGATGCAGATTTTCTAAATGAAGTATGGTTTGCTTTTGCATGTTTGTAGTGAAACTAGTTCTGTGTGAGCTTTTTAAGATCTACATAGAATTTCAAGTTTACTAAGGCCATAAAATAGTACTATGTGAAACCAAACTATCAGAACACTTCAGATAGAATCGAACACTACTTCTACACACTAACCTTTTTTTTTCCTCGTCTTAGGAAAGACTTGCTGCACAGTTGGTAGAAAAGGACAGCAATCTTCAAAAGTGGCGTGAGGAAAGAGATAGATTAGTAGACACTTTGGAAGTACAGCTCAAGACTCTGGCTTTTAACACCATGCAAAAAGATAAAGAAATAGCGGAACTGAAACAGGCTGCACTAAAGGATTCAGGAAAGGTCATCTATCTCTGTCTCTTGTTCCTCTGAATTTTTTTTCCTGTTATCCATGCTTGCTTTTTGCATTTTGGCTCTATTTTTCATTCTTAAATGCTGTCATATTGAAACCATTTGCAGCTAATTTAAAAACAAAACTGCATTTATGTTAGAAACTGAATTTGTAATGGTAACTGAAGTTTCAAAACAGTAGTTCAAATAAACACTCAAGTCTATTTAATCCTTTGATTGCAAAGTTGGACTGGAGATCTGAAACAACTATCACATTTGCTGCCTTTTTCACAGCACCGAGGACTTAATGAACATATGGGAGATGAACTTCTTAACTCTACAAAACTAGAGCAAAATAAAAAAATTTGCATTGCGTATTCCCAGGCTGTTATATGACTTTTCACTTTAAATAGTGGCCAAGCACATCTGAAATTATTGGCTTTTTGTTGGATAGCTGACTCTTTTAGCCTGCAATTCTAAAACTGATGCTACTAAGTAATCACAATGATGATTGTTTATACGTTACTTTCTTTCACCAATCCTGCAATTTGTGGTAATTTTTGCTATGTTTATTAGGATAAGGAAACTGATATAGAAGAACTAAGAAAACAGCTGATTGAGAAAGATGACTTTATAAAGGAGTTGAAACAACGTATTAACCATGAAAGTCTTCAGTCTTTGGCAGAAGTACCTGTACCTGAAGAAGGACAAGATAAAATAGATCAGTCTGTAAGCAAAGGGGTATGTTTGTTATATTTATAGAAAGTGTGTATTAATTATATGTTAACTTTTTATTTTGTTGTTTTCTCAGTATGTATTTCAGCAATGTTGGGAAACTCCCGAAAGTTACTTTTCATAGTTCTTTGTACTTTAGCTGTATCTTCAGTTCTGAGTTCTTGTTTATTCTTTCTCTCCCCCTCTTTCATGCTCGCTTTCAGAAAGAAAGTACTTTAGTTAATAGAATACTACCTCTGCCTACATTATAGAACTTATATACCTGAGGGAAAAACTAGTTAACTAATCCAGGTTCTAAAGATTTGAAGTCATAATATTTGTAGTGTGATCTCAGTTTGGTTATATCAGTGTTAAGGGGAATTTCAGCTCAAACAACTTTCATGGTATCACCTGTAGTGTGGTAATAGAGATGATTCTGTAACTAGAGCTGCCAGCCTGTATGGGGATTCACAAGAACTAGCTAGCTAGTTCACTAGAACCTGCTAGCTACAGGGTTATAGAGAAGTATTGTTGTGAATGATTGGTGCTGAAGTATTTACCTCAAGGCAGTAGCAACAATACTTGATGTTATGAATAAGGGAGGGTGCTAACAGGATTATTGTGAGAAACTGTTATGGTAATGTTGAAGTGAATGGGGTAAAGTTTTTTTGGGAAGTCAAATAATGCTTAAGAAAGACATAATGGAGATAAAGAAGAAAAATGAAAGTGATCAAGGCAGTATGTATCTCTGGCGTTGTGAGAAGAGGCTTAGAAGCTGGCACACTGATTAGGAGAAGTTAAGGCCACCGGAGGGTTTTGGGGCTGAGTTTTACAAAATCATGGTTGTGGTGCGTAAACAAAAGGCAGAACTGTCCTTCCTAAAATCCTGCAGGAACTGGGCAGCCCTTGATGAAACTAATAGGAGATAATTTTAAAACAGTTAAAATAACATATTCCTATATGATATTCCTAGATGAAGCAGCTAGTGATGCTCTGGAGGTGGTGGAAAAGGATACTGTCAGTGGGGATTAGAAAAATTTTTAGTAGAAGTCCATAAATGTGTTCCTAAATGGATACTCTAAGGATTAGGCAGAGGTGTACCCTCTGACACCTCTAATGCAACAACTGAGAGTGCTGGGAGAGTATGGAGGGAACAGATAACAAGGTGGACAGGATCACACATGCTATCCTAAACAGCATCTCCCTTTGCTGCTCTTGGAGGCAGAATATCGAACTAGGTGGACTGTTGGTGAAACCCAGCAGGGCACATCTTATGATGGCATTGTAAACAGATATTACTGACTTAAGCTTGTGTGGTCTTTCAGCACAGGTGTTCTTTAGCTGTCTGTGCTTGAGCTTTTACATTGTAACTTTAGAAAACTCAAAATATTTTGAGGTTTATAGTCTAGCATAATCTTTACTCATTCTAAATATTTAAGTTTATGGAAAAACAAAGCAAGACTAATCCTTTAACTGGGCAAAGTATTCCAGTAATATATGATGGAGTTAAAGAGAATTATTCATTATCTCAGTGTTCTAGCAGTGCCTTTTCATTAAGTGAGGTTGGTAGAAAACTTTTTAAACTTGAAAATTTTATGCAGTTGTATGGATTTTGCTAAATGCAGAATAGGGAAGAAAATGTGACCTGTTGCCTGAACAATTCTAAAACTTTATTCTTCAGATTCCTTTCTTGATGATCAAATTGCCTGATTTTATTGGCTTTTGGTAGAAATAAAAGCAGTGTAATATAATCATGTGAATAATTATATCTGACTTCAACTGTGTGTTCTTGGAAATTTATCTCTCGCTGACACTTATGAAGTGGCTGATTATTAGATAAGTCACTTGAAATACAAATAAATATAAATCCTTTTAAATGGATAAGCAATAGCAGGGAAAACTGGATTTCCTTTCCTCCACTGTAGGATTCCTGTGTGTAGCTTTGTTAGCTAATGACACTAACCACTCCTGTGTAACTCTTTGATTGCTGACTCTCATGAAGTAGCAGTTATAAACAAAAATGTTTTTGTTAGCACTACTGCATTTCCAAGGATGGAGTTGGCTATTATTCCCACTTGGAATCCCAGCAGAGCCTGTTGAAGAAGGTGACTACCTTTTGGCTTTCCCTGAGCTTTGAACATTTTTCTTTTTGAGAGGAGGAGGGTACCTTTCAGGGTGAACCAGCACAAGAAGCAATAGCAGCTGGTCTGTTTGGGACCCTACTAGCAGCAGTAGTGCCAGTCACCTGTGAGTTCTCACCACTGCCAATCCCAGCAGCCTATATTCCAGGTTTCATTCCAACACTGAATTCACTTTTATATGCTAGCCAGCAGCTGAACTGCTGCCACAGACATACAGGAGCTGGGGAGATCACAGCTCTGACTTTCTTGCTGGTTTTGATAAGAAAAACAGGGTTGGGTGGGTGGTTGAAAGTTAGTGCTGCTGGTGAAGAAGAATTGTGCAAACTGACCTTTCCATTCCACTCTCACTGTGAAGTTCTTGTGGTTTGAGTGTAAGCAGGTATCAGACAAGGTCTTCAGCTTGCAGGCAGTGGTGCTGCCTGAATGCTTGCTCTTTCTCCAAAGAACAGATAGTGATGTAGAAGTCTCTCATAGGTTGAATTTGGCTTGTAGCTTGCCCCTTGGACCTTGTTACCTACACAATTAACTTCTCTAGTATAGAAGGGGAAGGGAAAGATCCCTAAAGATAAGCTAGAGAAAAATTATACTTCTCTCTCAGAAGCTCCTATTACTGCCTAGCTCCTAAGAAGCAGCAAAGTTAAGATGAAAAAAATCATGTCAATTTTACTACTGCTAGCTGTGAAAACTGTGACTCCTAACAACTGAAAACAGCTGTCTCTACCCTTGAGGAAAATGACTTGGAAACAAAGTATCAGGCCGAGTTCTGCAAGGAAAACTTAAGTTCTGTGATCATAGATAGAAATGTTAACTTTTTTCTAAAATTTTTTTGTTAAATTTTAAATAAGAGTTAAAACTCTGCTATAGTTGAAGTAGATTTCTTTGTTTCTATTATAAGTGTTCTAAAAGCTAACAGCTGGAAAATGAAATGTTTACTTTGCAGTTCACTGGGGAGGGATATGTATTATAGTTATTTAACTCGTAGTTATTTTAAAGCTTGTTTTCTTAAAATTTCCCTATGCTTGCAGGACTATTCAGAAATTGCCCTTGACTCTTCAGAAGTGTCCACAGAAAATGGAAAAACTAGTCGATTCCCAAAACCAGAAATGGAAATCCAATTCACACCTCTGCAGCCAAATAAGATGGAGGTGAAGCACCAGGGCAGCCCCTTACCAGTTACAGTTAAAATGCTTAAGCCAAGAAAGAAGAGGAAGAGTGAAGAGATGGATGAGGTATGATCTAGACCAACCTACAAAATATGTTGTGCAGTTTTTCAATGTGTTACTCTGATCGTTTGTTAAAATCCTACCCTTATCTTTTGATTCTCTCTGAGATCCTAAGGATATATCTAGGGTACATTTTAAACCTCTGCCTGCCCCCCACCCCCCCAGTGGTGAATCTCTGGCCTATGTTGAATAAGGTCATAGACTTCAATTTATCCAGCCTCTGGCCCCTTGTCCCTGATTTGCACTTTATCTTTTACATTTCTCTCTCCCTGCTGGTACCATTTGCTCCTGTCTCTAGCTCTGATCTGTGGGATTACAGGCCAGTTCTGTACAATTTTTTCTTTTGGTTTAGGCAACCATTGGTATCAGTTATAGTCTATTCTAACAGGCGATAACAAGTTAAGCCCCTGGATTTAATCAATGCATTTCAGAGTTTCAAGACCACTTCCATGGACCATTTCTCCAGCCTGTGTTTTCGTTGGTATTCTTCTACTTAGAGGGACTATACAGAACTTATTGTACCGGTATCTGAACCTCCCTGTTTTCTGTAGACCTTAGTTTCTCTTTAATTCCTGCAGTCATGCTTGGTTGCATGCTCCAACCTTCTTAATGCACTGTGGTGTTTACATGTGAGACTAAGGCTTCACAGCAGTTCAAGATGGTAAAAATCTTCACTGCTCCTGCCCTGAACTTCGTGTTCCTTTCCTCTGCCTTTTATCAGCATTAAACCCCCCCCAGATATCTCTAAGACACTTGCAAAGGCTGTGAAATCCTGAGATCACATTGTGGTGGTACTTACATACCTGTAGTCCTACCTGTGGGGGTTATGAATCTCTATACTTCTTGATACAGACTTTTGTTGCTGACAGGTGAGTATGAGGGAGATGAAGTGTGAATGATTTGGCTAGGTGGTAAGTGATCTCTTTCAGTGAGTGAGCTTGTCTCAGATGGGGAGTGAAGTGTATGATGCTTCTCTAGCATTTCTCATTCAAACATTCCCAAGTGATATTTTTTTAATCTCTTAGTAAAATAATTAAGGGAAATAATCACTTCAGTGATTAGTGTTCAATGATACTTCAATAAAACCTTTTTGTTAAACTTGGGTTGGAAAAGTAACTGTTGAAATCTGTGTAAGTTAATTCTTCTGGAATTCAAGACTTCATTCAAGGATAATGTCCAGAATTGATTTAAATTTCTTGTCTCTTGAACCAATTTTCTTCAAGAGTGGTATTCCTCAGGCTGCTGGAAAAGTAGGTGTAAAAATAACCACCCTTCTGAAGGTGCTGAAAAGTACTGAACCTTATTTACAGATGAATATATTTCATCTAACATAGTTATCCATGTATTTAGAGAAGACTGTTTTACCAATCCATTTAAATAACATTTAGCCAAGTAACTTTTCAACAACATGGAACTAAATGTAAAGGTACTTTATTGCTGTGCTGTTTTATTCACCTGAATGTTTGTCTTAGATATTATTTTTGTTACATATGCCAAACAGGAATAGATTGTAAAATGATTCAGTAACTCTAACTGTCACAAATTTACTGAAGACACAATTTGTTTTTCAAATTTCTTAAAACCAAGCAGCACATTATCAGCATTGAATTTAAGGATTGATGGGAAACCTGTAGTGCTAAAATAACCATGTACTGCTCATCTCAAATTTTTAAAAAATAAAACAAAAAAGCCTTGTTTTTTTAGAAACAAACAAAATCGAATCTTATGTAGACACTCTTGTCTAATTAAAGAAAGAACAAAATCCTCTTTC